CCCGGGGGGCGGGCAGCGCTCAGCCGGGACCAGGTGAGTTCCACGAGCCCTCGGTGACTCCGTGAGAACGGTGTGTTTGCCTTCAGAACGCCTGGAATAAAAAGCATAAAGGTGTAAACCTGAGTTTAGTTCCTAGAATTTGCAGGCATCTTGCGCTGCAGGAAGTGGCATCCCTGATTTTCACATTCCCCTAAACCTCTTAATTCTTTGCACCAGTCCACAATCCCAAATGGCAGGAATTATTAATAGTTTTCCCAGACGGTTTTTATTATTTTGGAGCACACTAGAGTCATCTCTTGAAAGGAAAGAGCTCTCAGTGCTGCTGCCCATTGCCTTAATCCTTTTGTCCTTGGAACGCCCATGGAGAGACAAAGCCTTGACACCAACACCCATCACACCCGAGCCTGGGCACACCTGGGAAGCAATCATTGTTCCACAGCTTCTCCAGGAGAGCTGTCTCAGGTGTGAACGTTTTCCCTCTGTGTCCCATTCATGGCTCTTTCAGGATCTGGGAAAAGCAGCCAGAGCCCCTTGTGGGTGTAAAAACCACTGGCAGGGCTGGCATGGGATGGGATGGATTCCCATCCAAACCTTTCTGAGATTCTGTGGGTTTTTTTTTTAATAAACAGCATATTAAAAAATCATATTTCTCCCCCCCCCACCCCCATGAAAATGTTTTTCTTCCCCAAACGGAAAGAGGGGTTTGGGGTTTGTTTGTCTGGTTATTTTCCAGAGCCAGTTTTGCCTCAGACTCCCAGGATGGAGCCCCTGGAAGTGCCCCCAGCAGAGCCTCCCGTGCTGGAAACCCCCCAGAAGTTCTTCCTGCGGGTCAAGTGGCAGCAGCAGCAGCAGCACCAAGGTACTGGGGCTGCTCTGGGGAGCACAAACCCCTCCAGACAGAGAACCTTGGCCTTGCTGGGCCTGGGAAACCTCTGAGGCCATCCAGTCCCCCCAGCACTGTCCCCTGTCCCCAAGTGCCACATCCACGGGGCTTTGAATCCCTCCTGGCATGGGTCCCCCCACCCCCTGGGCAGCCTGTTCCCCTAATTTCATTGTTATTCCTTTATGTAAGCATGTTCCCATGCTCAAATAGCCCTAATTTCTCTGTTATTCCTTTATCTAAGCATGCCCTCATGCTTAAATAGCCCTAATTTCTTTGTTTTTCCTTTTTTTTTTCCCTTTAAATGGGCAGCTACACCACCTTCAACCCAAAGGCAGCAGAATGTTCCTCCTTGCAGAGGTGCAGAGGATGCCTCAGTGCAGGCTGCTTGTGCTGAGCAGGCAGGGAATGGGCCTGCAGGGGAGCTGGACTCTGATAAGGATGATGTGGATGTTTTCCTGGTGGAATCTGTCGAGGTGGATGCTGATGAAGAAATGTCTCAAAGGACAGTGGCTTCTCCTCTGCAAGTGAAATCCCCGCCTTGGGAAAATGGGGATCAGGCAAAAGGAAGGTGGAGAAATGCAGAAGCAAAATGTACAGAGCTTCGTGAGGACAGGAGAGAGCTGCAGCCCAGCAGAAAAGCAGCTGCTCCAGCAGTGGAAAAGGCACCAGAGACCAATCCTGCAAACCCCTCGCAGCCCTTCTGTAGCATCTTGCTCTCCTCTCCAGTCCACATCCCAAGGAAGCAGAAGTGGGCAGAAGACCCCAAGGTCCCTTTGGATAAAGCTCCTGCTGACCAACCTGCTGGCCAAGCACACAAAGAGGTGGGAGAAAATAATCCTTGAGGGCAAATGAGCAATTCCTCAATAACACCAAAAGTTCTTTTTCTTGTCACAAGCCAGGAACACTGAAAGGAGGATAAACTGTTACTCCTTTAGGTTCTGGCAGTATATTTCCCCATGCAAAGGGTTCCTTTTTTCCATACTCCAAGATGACAGATGTTCAGGGCTTGGGGTTTGTTGTGTAAAAGAAGCACTTTTGGCTTAGTGTGTACAAGCCATGGTGTGGCCATGGGCCCTGCCAGCTGCTGGCTGCTTGCTCAGCTCCAGGGAGGAGAGGCCTCTCCCAGCTGGGCATGAATCCATCAGAATGTGCCTGCTGATGGACAGGGGAAAGCTTGGCTGTCCTGTGGATCACCCAGGCTCCTGTTCAGTTCAACTGGAGCAGATCCTTTCCTAGGAGAGCAGTGTGCAGCCTGCAGATCCCTCCCTCTCTGAGGACATCCTGGCAAAGTCCTTGGGGTTCCCTGGGGAAATCTGGGATTGCAGGGGACTTGTTCTGTTCTCCCTCACCATGGCCAAGAGTGTTTGATGTTTTTCTTGAATTAAACCAAATCACCTTCAGGATTGAGCTGAGGATCAGGTATCCTCTAATATTCCAGATTTGTAGTTTAGGAGATGTTGAAAGAGTTATTTTTGTTATTGGATCTGATCACTGAGGAGTGCTGGGTAATAAATACTTCTAAATTATTTATGTTCTTTTTTTTTTTTCTGGGAAAGAAAAACATCTGCCTGAGCAGCTGGAGGATTAAAGTGCTGGCTGGAAACACGGCAATCTGTGTGGAAGGGAAAAGGAAGTAAGAACCAGTTTTTTATTTTACTGTAAAGTAAACCATGGACACCAAACATGAGGTAATGGTGCAGAGCTTAGACTGCTTTATCAAGGAAGACACAATTCCTTTGTGTGGGCAGGAGAGGGAGAGCACCCAGAACTGCTGGGGAGCTCATTCCAGAGTGCTGTGCTGAGATAATCAGAAAGGTTCAGAGAAATCAATCAAATATCAAATAGCTCTGGTCAGTTTGGGTTGGGAGGGACCTCAAAGCCCATCCAGCCCCACCCTGCCATGGCAGGGACACCTCCCACTGTCCAGGCTGCTCCAAGCCCCATCCAGGCTGGGCTGCTGTCCCATGAGTGACACCTGCAGCAGTGACACGCTCACTGTGTCCCCTGCCCCAGGTCAGAGCTGTGTCAGTTCCAGGCTGAGAGAGGAAACCTGAGCCCAGAGCACATCCTGCAGCACCTGAATCCCTCAGAGAACAGGGATCCCTGCCCTCCATGGAGTGCCAGCATTCCAGCCTGGAATCCCTGCTGGCAGTGATGTGTGTTGTCTCTTGGCAGGGACATGAGGCAGCAGCTGTGGCACAGCAGCGCCGTCACGGAGCGCGTCACTCACAACCAGGTGCAGACCTGCTCGGGAGCCGTGTACCTGCTGCAGGGCAGGATTGACTCTGCTGCCATGAGGAGGGAAGGTGAGCTGCTGCTTCTGAATGCCTTACAAATGATAAACTGCTTCAGCTTGGTTTGGAGCATGTGGGTTTGTAAGGAAACGGGGTTTTCGTGCAGGTGCAAATGCAGGATTTGTGCTCTGTGTGCTCCTCTGGCACACTGGCTGGGAATGAGCTGCTTGTCTGTGTTCAGAGGGGTCCCAGGATGAGGGAAGAGACAAGGACCTGACTCCATGTTACAGAAGGCTGATTTATTATTTTATGATATACATTACATTAAAACTATACTAAAAAAATGGAAGAAAGGGTTTCATCAGAAGGCTGGCTAAGGATAGAAAAAGAAGGAATGATCACAAAGGTTTGTGGCTCAGCTCTCTGTCCCAGCCAGCTCTCTGTGATTGGCCATTAATTAGAAACAACCACATGAGACCAATCCCAGATGCACCTGTTGCATTCCACAGCAGCAGATAACCATTGTTTGCATTTTGTTCCTGAGGCCTTTCAGCTTCTCAGGAGGAAAAATCCTAAGGAAAGGATTTTCCATAAAAGATGTCTGTGACACTTGTGAGTGCTCTTAGGCAGCTCTGAGGACACAGAGGTACCCTGTGGCATGGGTGGAATGAATAGTTGGAGTCAGGGGATATCCTGAGCTGGAAGGGACCCCCAGGATCATCATCCCAAGCCCCTGTCCCTGCCCAGACCCCCAACAATCCCACCCTGTCCATCCTTGGCAGCGCTGTCCAAACCCCCCTGGAGCTCTGGCAGCCTCGGGCTGTGCCCATTCCCTGGGCAGCCTGGGCAGTGCCAGCACCCTCTGGGCAAGAGCCTTTCCTGATCTCCAGCCTGAGCCCACCCCACTTCCAGCCCCAGCCATTCCCTCAGCATTACTGCTCCTAACACAGGTGTGCCCCAGGTGTGTTGCACCATTTTTTACCCAGCACACCTTCACTGTTGGCTCTGTCAGGCCCAAGGAAGTGTCTGTGACTTCAGTGTTTCCTTCTCACTTGCAGCACTGGGGTCCCTGCTGATAAATACCTGCTCTGGCTGCTTTCTTACTTGAAGATTTTATTACTTTCTTTGCTAAGAACTTATATTTATTTCTATTTTAATATTCTGAGAAGGAAAAGTAGCAGCATAAGGCTTGTGAGCAGAGTGGCTGTAGGGCTGCAGAGGTCTCCTAGGGCTGAGTGACTGACTGGAGTGTGCTGGGTGGGATTGTGTGGGTCAGTTCCTCTG